AAAACGGCTCACTCAGCTCAGCTCATTTAGTCCATAGGGATGTCTTCTGAACATATATTCAAGGGCTTTGGACATTACTGACCTCTTCGCTCCTTGGCTAAAGAAGACGAATGACTGATTACATGGCAGTTTCACAGTTAATTATGTTAAATACAGAGGCACATAATTTTGGAAAATGCAAACCATAATACAACCACAAACCATAGTAATAAGATGTTATAGAATTGATCATTTTACCAAGCAGACTACAGTTAGTGTTTTCTATTTGAAACAATTACAGTAATCTACCTTTTAATTGAAGAGACAATGGCGGTTTTGTCCCTGGTAGGTGTAATGTGGGCCGGTGCAGTTTAGTTCAGCCGGGTGAAACAACTCTGAGACAGCAGTTTGATGTATGACCATGGCACTGGCATCATTGATCTTAACTTTAACTGCAGCAATGCAGTGGTCGTTGATGGGGTGTTACATTGCATAGGGACAGTTAGGGTATACACATTTCTTTTATCAGTGGTAAAATACAGTAAGTTAAAGGTACAGCTAAATATTTAATCCTGACATAAATTACATTGGCAGACTAACCCCAATAAATCATTCCATATACTGTCTTAACAATTTATTAGCCAAGAGACAAAACCAATAACAGCATAAGTTAAAATTAAACGTAATTTTCGGGATATTATGTGCTACTTTTGTCACGTGCCTTGAAGCCGCGGTTTATACAGCAAAGCGTCTTTTTTCAGTATCTGTGTGCTGAAAGCACCCTCTGGAGGGTCGTAGGCTTTTATATCACAGCATTTCAGTGTGTATGGACTTATTTTGAATCAAAGTTTTAGATAATGTTTAGCATCAATACAAATTGAAAAAATGCTAGATCTTCATTCATTGCCGACAAGGATACTACCAGCTAAGGTAAGTGAAGCATGCTCCGGGTCTTACTAGAATGCTATTTGTGACTCTTAAAACTCAAATTTAAAGGCTAAAGGGTTAAGAGTAGGTTTAGGGTTAGGATACCCTCCAGCTGGGGGAATTATCAAGATTTTAGTGAGGTGGAGCTTTAAACAACTAGGTGCACTCAAACAGATGACTATGGAAATGTAACCCTTAAAACCAAGAATGATATATTACAAAAAAAATAGATAGTTATCAGAAAAATCCTTGAAAAAGTTGTCTACTAACAACTTACCAGAGTGCTTCTAATTAACAACTCATTTGACATGTTCCAGTCCGGATTTATACCCCACCAAAGCCCTGAGACCGCTCTTGTCAAGGTAACAAATTACTTCTGACACCGTTGATTATATGATCCTCTTACAAAGACAGGTCGATTCTAGCCTGGTCTTACCATACCATTGTACTAATTCAATTTGGTACTAATTCCATTTCGTACTAAAAGGTCTGTTTTACTCAATTGGGCTCCGTTAACAGGTGGGAGTGGTCAACTCCTTTTAAAGAGTAAAAAACGATTGGCAAGAGCTCTGGGGTGTGCCGTCCTCTCTGTTTGGTGCACACTGGGGTAGTCTTGCATGGTTTTTCCGATGTGGTTTTACTGCAAAAGGCAAAAAAATTAATCTGAATCTGGATCTGAGTTTACCGCAAAGTCTGGCCTCGCACCATGCAGAACTTAGAAACGAGGAGGCAGGGTTTCAGATTTCATGCAGCCAAAAACTGGAACCGTCATCCAGAAATGTGAGGCAGGATTCTATTCTGACAAGTTCTGTTTAGCTGTGCATTCAACTGAAGGATTGTATCTTCACTCGTTTTGATGGACTGTGATGAGTTACCCTTTAAGGCCTTAAAGGTACAATTTTAATAATTCTAGTCTTGTTTTGTTAAGCACTTTGAGTTGCCATGTGTATGAACTGTACTATACCAATAAACTTACCTTGCCTCAGACTGATCCCAAAAATACATTGCTCAATACAAATACAATTAAATAAATACAATATGTGTATACGTATAGATACCTGTATTTTAGACCATAGGGCAATAGGGCAACGAGATGTACCGGTAATTATGGTAATATCTCTCAGAGATTGTCAATAAGGTAATTTAATTGAATAATTAATAAAGCAATGGAAATTAGGAATTGGAAAAAACATGTATAGCCTTTTGCTTAGATGTAAAACTAGTTTTAGTAGTCATTGACATAAGCTTAGATTAATAAGTAGGTCTACGTACAAAAACCTTTAATTCATTTTTTTGAAGAAACAAAACATTATCTTATTACTGGGGTCGGTTTATTTAATCCTTGAACAGTGCAACTCAAAGATAGGAGACTCACACAATACTGTCTGGTAATTAAACAGCACCCTCTTGTGATAAATAGGAAGCATGACATGTGTCTCGATGAGTTGCTCTTTGCACATTTATGAGCAGTCGAAGCCTGTAAAAGCAAAGCACCATGGGTATGTTTTTGTCATATTTCTATGAACATAACTACTTCAGGTTATTGTATAAAATACAGATAAATTGAAGTGGAAAACAATGATTTATAATCTGATAATAAGACCCTTTAATTACAATCAGAATCAGAATCCTTTTTATTGCTATGTGAGTAACAGGAAGTCACAAACTAGGAAATTGCTTTGGCTCGCAGGGCAAACAAGTTAAATCAGAATAAAAACAGGAAGGCATGCATAAATAAAAATCTACATACATTTCTTCAGTTTACTATATACAAGTGCACTAGGTGCACACAACAGACCCTTAAGAGTGCGGTAGAGTGCAGTAAAGTGACAGTAGCATAAAGTGACAGTAGCATAAAGTGACAGTAGCATAAAGTGACAGTAGCATAAAGTGACGGTTAGAAGGTCAGTAGTCAGTGACGGATTATGAAGTGTCCATGGGTCCAACAGTAGAGGGGAAGAAACTATTCTTGTGGCGGGAGGTTCTAGTCCTGATGGACCACTATGGTCCATCAGGACTAGAACCTGCCTGAAGGGAGTGTTTGGAATAGTCCATGTGCAGGGTGAGAGGGGTCAGCAGTGATACGACCAGCCAGGTCTAGAGCCCGGGCTTTGTACAGGTCCTGCAGGGAAGGGAGGCTGTGGCCGCTCACCTTCTCTGCAGAGCGCACAATGCGCTGTAGTCTCTGCTTGTCCCTGCCTATGGCTCCAGCGAACCACACGGTGTTGGAAGAGGTGAGGATGGACTCGATGATGGCCGATGATGGCCGTGTAGAACTGCACCAGCATCTGTGCAGACAGCTTGGCTTTCCTGAGCTGCCGCAGGAAGTACATCCTCTGCTGGGCCTTCTTGATGAGGGAGCTGATGGTCGGCTCCCAATTGAGGTCCTGGGTGATGGTGGTGCCCAGGAAACAAAAGGACTCCACAGAGGTGATGGGGGAGTCCATCAGGGAGGACGGGGCGGGGGGGCTGTGCTCTTCCTGAAGTCCACAATCATCTCCACTGTCTTCTGGGCGTTCAGCTCCAGGTTGTTACCACTGCACCAGGACACCAGCCGGTCCACCTCCCTCCTGTAGGCGGACTCATCATTGTTGGAGATGAGTCCAATGAGGGTGGTGTCGTCCTCAAACTTGATGAGCTTCACGGAGTCGTGGCTGGAGGTGCAGTGGTTGGTGTACAGGGAGAGGAGGGGAGAAAGAACACAGCCCTGTGGGCTCCTGTATTTATATCCTAGAGTCCGAGATATTCTTCCCCAGACGCACTCGCTGCTTCCTGTCCGTCAGGAAGTCAGTGATCTACCTGCAGGTGGAATCGGGCACATTGAGCTGGGAGTCCTGGAGCAGGGATGGCAGGATCGAGTTGAAGGCAGAGCTGAAGTCCACGAACAGGACCCTGGCGTAGGTCCCCGGGGAGTCCAGGTGCTGTAGGATGTGGTGGAGGGCCAGGTTGATGGCGTCGTCTACAGATCTGTTGGCTCTGTAGGCAAACTGCAGGGAATCCAGGTGAGCGGAGGTGGAGGACTTGAGATGAGAGAGAACCAGGCGCTACAGGTCTGTAGTCATTATGGCCAGTTATCCTGGTCTTCTTTGGAACAGTCTTTTACAATCTTTTACCTTCCAGATTTATAATTCTTCTGATTTGAAGGCTTAACAATTGGACCTTAATTCACTCTTTGCGTTTGTTAGATTGTCTAAAAAAGCAAGATAATTAGATTTTTCAAGAGACCATTATTTCTATAATATGTTGCCACAGTGCCAGTGCCTGCAAACACGTTGAGAGCGCTCCAAAACAAGCACTTAATTTGGGCACTGAACTAACAAACGCATAATAATGGCCTGATTTGCATACATTATGTCAGTCTGTTTAGTATGTAAATGCTGGGGAAATTTCTGGGTTTAATCATTCCACAGACAATATTAATTGGGAATGTATTAATTACCTTACATTCATACTCTGACACTGTAAATTAGAGGTGGACCGATATAGGGTTTTCTGCCAACAATGCTTACTCTTACACTTTGACTGACCAACGGCTGTTTTAAATACATATTAAAATGTCCCATTTTTTATTAAAATCATTTAACAGGCATACCGAGAATTCAGCAAATAAATAATAACATAACTGGTCTGATTGTGGCAGAAATCATCTGATTGGAAAATACAAATCAATCTAAAAAGCTTTCTGGCTTATGTTACAAAACAAATTATTAATAGGTGTAAAATCTATTAACACATTTAAATTATTTGTTTAATAAAGCCGCTGTGACAGGTATCAGTATTCAGTCACAATCGGTACCTTTAGTAAAAAAAAAAAAATTATGTCATGTTATTTCATCTAAAATGTACAGAAAACAAAAGTAATTGAAAACTGAGATTCATCAAAAGGGAGTTAAAAAATGGTGTGTCCCCAGATTGTCCAGCCCTTTTCGCACGACTAAACCAGAGCCCAATTCAGTCAAAATTGTTTTAATAATTTCACAATGTGAAGATGACTATTTTGAAATTGTTAACAGACATTGTCTATGTTTATATGATAAATGTCGAAATGCTTGTACCCTCTTGACCTTGTCTGACAGCTCAGAGGTGTCCATCAGTCATGAGTTGTTTTCCCTGGTTGTGTTCTGCCTCCCTAGGTCTTCTCTGCTTGCTGCATCCTCAAATCTGAAACCATCTATGACCAAGGTCTCTCCGTCCTCTCGGATGGTGGCAGCACACACACTCTGCTCCTGTCACAACATCAACAATATGAACACATTGAACAGTGCTGCGCTCGGCATGCCAGGGCACAGCCAACAATAACAAGGTCAGATTTGAGTTTACATCCATCACAGTTAGCACCTGTGTTAAGAAATTCAGATATTTAACTGTTGATACCGGTCTCTATATGTTAGGCTTTCAATATCTGCCGATACCCAAAATGAACCGATGTCAGTAAAGTTGCTGAAAATATTCACTGCTAATAGTTACTTATCTTGTAAGTAACTTCAGAATGATTCAGGGTTTATATAAGCTGGGGGAAAGGCCAAATGATTAGCAAGAAAATGAGTTGCTAAAAAAAACAAAATCCCAGAATGTATACAGGAAAACGATACAAACAGATAACGAAAATGGAGATTTTAGTTTAGTTTAAAAAAATTAAATGTTTCTTGTTCCTACCTTTTTGTGGGATCGAAGAGTGCGGATAAAGCTGCAGTGGTCTACCATCTCTTGGATTTCCTCCAGTAGTGCTGTAGCATTAGTTATAACTGGAAAGAGGTGCATGATTGTTGCATGGTAAATTAATGATTGTAGTTCACTCATGTCACAATGATATTCTCACGTTCTTCTGTTAAGGTCTTCAAATTCGCAGCACACCCCGGGTTAGTTTTGATTTCCATCGTCGAGATATGTTCTTGACAAAAAAATAATAATAATTACAATATAAAATTCAGAAGCAAACATAAACATTTCCCCACAAATGTAACCTATGATTGCAACTTACAATGACATAAATAAACAAACAAAAAATAACGTCTGGCTGGGTAGTTTTTTTTTTTTCCTGTGGCGGGAACGCGGGAACATGTAATAGTTAGCTAGCCTATGGTCTGGCGTGGGGAAAAAAATCATAGACTGTAAAATAAATTAAAAATAAATTAAAAGGAAGAAAAATCCAATGAAAATAAAGTGATTAATGAAAGTCTTCATATTATGTTTTTTTTAACAATGTTCAACAATTCAAATGTTAGGTTTAAAGAGGAAATGCTCATCCATGTGTTTATTTTTTATTTAAAATTTGGGTTGTTGTTACGGAGAAAAGACTCCGGATGTGGGCTTTCGACTTTTATTGTGAAAATCCCCGGGCACGAAACGAGTCCCGGAAGTTTTCATTTCCTTACAGTGTTACCGTCATCACCTGTCAGCGCTCCTCTGTCCTCTTTGTTTTTCCTTTCCAAAATCCTCAGATTTCACGATGAAAATAGGTTTATTTGTTTAGGTCACTGGTGAGATAAGTGGGAACGCCATCCAACACGGTTTGTATTGGACTTTAACCTTCAATGTTATGGCTGCATCTTAGCTGGTTACTGGGTCACAAACAGCGAAAGCTAAACGCTAGCTCAGTGCTACCTTGAAAACATACACAAAACACATCAACTGTTCCACTGACATGTTTCAAATCTCTCAGTTGTAAGATGATTTTAGCTGGAATATTTTATGTTGGATTTGTACAGTAGCCGGTTTCATTTTGTAAACAAAGGAGGCGGAAGCGAACTGCGTGTGATCGAAACATACAAGCTAGCGTGTTATAATAGAATCAGATATTGTTTTAACGTTTGTATTATCTTGTGAGTGACACCTCTGATCAGACTGAAAAATGAAACTGAGTACGCGCTTTCTCTTTGACTGATCAATGGGTATAGTCTACAGTGTTTCCCACAGGTTTGAAGGCAATGTGTGGTGGTCATCGGCGGTGTCAATTAACAATGACATCGTTAATTGGTCAAATACAGCTTTATTGGACTGATCAAAATATCAAACATTATTCACACGCTGTATATTACACTATAAATACTGTTAACGCTGTATAAACCTACTTGTTGCAAAAAATAACATTATTCACACGCTGTATAAACACTATATTACACTATAAATACTGTTAACGCTGTATAAACCTACTTGTTGCAAAGTTTGCATGTTTTATCAGAGCACCTGATTTTTCGGGGCTGGCAAAAAAAAGATTTTAATGCCATATCATAAGGGAAGTCCTCAGGACAGGGTCCATTGATGGAGTTTGTTCCTGAGGTCTGTTTTCACCTGGAGATAAAGCAAAATGATAAATTATTATCAATGCAAAATGCACCAATATAAAGACAATGGGAATTTTTTATTGCTATTACCCTGTTCATTGCAGAGAAATCCCGTTCACAGTTCACAGAGGAAACAGGGATAACCAAAGCAATGCTTGCCAGAAGAACAACTTATATAGCTAATTACACTGCGGACTGTTTCAGACCGATACCTCTGGTTCAGGCTGATCCTCATCCTCAACGCGTGTCTTTTTCAATCGCGGAAAATATTGTTCAATACTCATCTGGATTGAAGCAGCAAACATTCAGTGTAAGAGTAAAAAAATGACATAAAGTTACTTATAACTTTATTTCTTGCTACAGCTGCTACATAGTGTTTTGACCCCGACAACCCAACTACATACCGCAAACTTGCGACTAATGAACTTTATAAAGAAAGCGTCATCGCTTGTTAAGGGAGTCGGGACGGAAATTCAACATTGACACTGAACATTCAGCACTTTTTAATGTGTGATTTACGAGATCACGGGATACCAACCTTTAGTGAACTTCACCAGCCGTCTTCTCTGCACCAAAATTAATAGACACAGCTGCTTACAGCGATGATCGCTGATGGAGACGGAGACACGCGGTGTGCACGAAGGGGAGGGGCTGTGTGTGTGTAGGTCTCTGTATGTGGGAGAGACGCGTAGCTTGAGTGAGAGTTACGAAGGGCCGCCACATTTTAAACCCCCCTCCCCGCTGTCAAATTGACCGCTGCGGCGGCACTAGACGATGCATGTTTTAACCCTTTAAGCGCCAGAGGTTTTTTCCAAAACGCTCAATTTTGACATCTTAATTTCAAAAGGCTATAACTTAAAAGTGATAAGAGATAAAGGCTTTCTGTAAATTAGAAAAATATAAAGGATGGTCCAAAGTTTATGTAGAGAATAAATCCCCCCATCTAATTAGCATATTATGACGTCATTTGGCGTTAGAAATAGTGGATTTTAGAATTTTCATACAATATTTGTATTTTTCTAACTGACAGACATATATTTATCACTAGAACATAAACACACACAGAGCACACACTGTAACATTGTAAATGTTCATGAAAATAGTAAAAAAATATAAATCATGATGCTGCTGTGAGCAGTCTGCCCAGACGCGCGCGTCACCGCGACCCTGCTGCTGCAGCTGTCTCCCCCACTCTCTCTCTCATCTCCCCTGATCTCTCTCTCTCATCTCCCCTGCTCTCTCTCATCTAACACACACAAGACAAGGCTTCTACAACACATTACTGTCCCGGTGATTACGTGAGGCTTGAAAATAAATATGTGGGAAGCACTTTTAGCGGAGACTTTGGCGGAAACTTCAGCGGAGGCGGGAGGTCGCGGCGCCCCGACCCGAGTTCCAGGCTTGTTTTCCGCAAATCTAACCTGTCTCCGAACCTCCCAATGACTTTGCCTTACTCTGAGAAACACTATTCCCACTGCAGACCCTGTGCAAAGTGTCTAAAGTTAGTGTTTGGTGCGGTACAACACTCGCAGGCTGCCCCGCAGCTGCATTCGCTTCGCTATGATTTCAGCACTGGTTCAACGCGGTCTTGCTCGAATATTTTGTATAGGAGCATGACGTTTTTTGGGGCCAGGGAGGTAGTCTGACATGTCTGCCAACTAGTGGCAGGGAGTATGAATGAATTTTGACACTCAGTTGGTCACACTCGGCCGTTTTTAACAGTACCGCAGCTTGTCGACTTAAGTCGACCGTGGCGCCTAGAGGGTTAAATAGCGTAACAAAAAAAATATATATATAATAATACGAAACGCAATTTGTGGCGGGCGGTCTCTAATCTGTGGCGGTGCGCCACAGATTAGTCTATGTGTGGGAAACACTGGTCTACGCTATTTAACCTAAAGGCAAGGGCAACACGTTAAAAACATGAATTTATAATAATAACAAGGTAGCAATATGTTAGATGTTAGATCGTTCTTAAACTGTGAGGTCCGTAAAGAATGGATTCGAGCTGGGGCTGGATTTTACAATTTGTATCACCCTGCTTTGCGATTATAGAGGATTGTGATTCCAATAGATTTTAAGCAAAGTCATCGAAGACCATAGTTTAATCAATTAACTAATTTGTTCTGGGTGATTTTGCCTTTTGTTTTCCCTCCCCATTGGAGGGTCGTATCAATACTCAAACCGATCTAAAAAAGTATTGTGTTCTTTGGCTTGTCTTACTTACTGTACTGATTTGTATGACTTTGATTTTTCACGCCACTATCACTGACTTTTACGGCATTATGTGTTTCTCTTAATTAAGCAAGAATTAACCTAAGAAATAACAGCAATTTAATTTTAGATATTTTTCAATGTGAGTCTGCCAGAGGTTTTGCACTTTCCCTCTGTTTTTTTTTATTGTTCCTTGCCGATGCAAGAGTGTCTAAGAACAGTGATGATCTGGGACATTTATGGAAATCGGTCATCCCGCCCCCTATGAACCAATGGCTCCTAGATGTGTTTGTTATTATTGCATTTCTGTGTTCAAACTGTTTGATTCTCTGATTTGTATTGGTGAATTGACTACTTTGTATAGTCCTACGAGACAACGGCTGTGAATTGAATTAACAATTTTGATTCATTGTAACTGTCCTCCACAGGTCTTCTACCCGCTACACATAGGCTTCTGCCAACATGGAGCCGGCTGTGGATGATGACATATGCATCCTTAAATGTGAGACTGCCTCCACTGCTACAGGAGAGAGTCCAGTGTCAGTGTGTGCAGGGGATGAATCTGTTGCATCTCATTTCGCTCTGGTCACAGCCTATGAGGACATCAAGAAGAGACTCAGAGACACAGAGAAAGAGAACACACTACTGAGAAAAAGAGTAAAGCAGCTGGAGGATAAGGTATTCATTAGAGAATATATATGTATCATGTATTGGGCCTTTTCAATATTCTTTTAAAAAGTGAGATGGTTGCAAACCTTTCCTCAATACTCTGGGAGTGTACAAACATTTTTTACAATCTAAATTTAGGCATTTATGTGTTTTGTCCACCATAACATTCAAATTGCTCCAGCAAATACAGATGTGATCAATATAAATGTGGATTTGTTTTATTTAGCTTTTTCGACCAGATGCACTCCCTCCAGAAGGTCCCCAATATGTGAACAAGGCCTTCAGTGCATACAGAGGTATCTATATTGAGAAGGAAGATCTGCAGATGGAGCTCAACAAACTGGTACTTACATTATTTCATTACGTTCAGTTGCGGTTGACAGTTTACAGAAATAACCTTTAACATTGAATGTGAAGTTTTAATGTTACAAAATTGTCCAATTTGAGGATTTTTGAGCATGACGGATAATTCTGACAGCTCATTTCTGCAGCACATGCAGTGGTTGTTGTTGTAGTGGTTAGATAGGGCACAAAAACTGCATTCTACAGGATATGCAGTGCACAAGATTATTTGCACAAGATATTCTTTGCTGTTACCAGGATTTAAATAATTACATTAGATTTAATTTACTCTCTCTAACATTACCTCATCTATTTATTTTTTTTTATTTGAACACTTTAATTCTCTTTAAAAAGAACATGATTTTTGTTTTGAGTAGATTCAACAATAGCTTGTTAGTGTCAAACCACTGCCTATTTTTGGAAATTATTGGCAATGAAATATCTTTTGGAGATCCTTCATGATAACACAAACATATTATTGGGCCGCTTTACCTCCAGAGAGGGTAAAGAATCTCATCCACAACTACCAGAAAAGACACCAAGCTGTTATAGTTGTTGGGTGTTGTAGCATGATTAAGAATTTGACCAAAAAGGAAGACCAAGAAATCAAAGAGTTCAATCCAAGTCAAATTCATTTCTTGTAATCACAAAACAGACATCTACAATATTCCATTGATTAATATAAAATCACATTTCATAATTTGATACATGGATGAACATAATGTACAGATGTAGACATACTGCTGCTGATGTACAGATGTAAACATACTGCTACTAATGTATAGATGACATTAGATCTATGGATGGATATCCATAATGGATGGATAGATCCATCCATCCATCCATCCATTTTCTACCCTTTAATCCATTTCTGGGTCAGGGGGGTGGCAGTCAGAGATGCCACCCAAGTCTCATAGCACCAGCCCCTCACTGACCCTCTGCAGGTGGTGAGTCCACAGGAGGACGGCTGCTCTCTGAGTTTGAGCATAGCCTTGATCTTTCAGTGGGGGCTTTTGGGCAAAGTGGGGTTAAGTGTCTTGCCCAAGGACACAACGACAGCAGTCATCAGTGGGAGTCGGTGGAGAAGGTGTGGAGGTGGGAATTGAACCCACGACCTTCAGGCCTGAAGGCCAATGCTCTACCAACTGAGCCACTGTCGCCCCTAGATGCTAACATACTGCTGCTAATGTACAGATGAAAACATACTGCTGCTAACATATACAGATGCTAACATATAACCACTTTGCTTGCACTAGAATACACAGTACTTCTTACTTTCCTCTTATTGCCAAATGTAAAACTTCTACACATCTTTTATTATTATTTTCTAGATAGAGTTTTTATACTTGTTATTGATGCTAGATTTAGAGATTTTGTTTTATTTTTATTAGTATAGCTATTGTTCACTTAACTTGTGCCGTGTGATCCTCTTTCCTACTGTTCTATAACTTGGGATGCAACACTGAAATTTCCCCACTGTGGGACGAATAAAGGATCTCTTAATCTAAATCTTAATATAATGGAAGTGTGTTCTTGTGTAGACCTGTGCTGTTTTTGAAATCCACAACAGGGGCAAGACCTGTTATTGAGAACAGGGGGATGTAGATTTCTGAGCAGGGTGTTTTGGATAGTTTGTTATTTGAAAATGGAAAACACAGCCACTATCAATGAGTGAAAAATGGGGGCGCATGGGGTATTTAACTGTATGTTATGAACAACTATGAATAATGACATGGTTTTGTTTAAAATCTTGTTTTGTTTAAGTGTTTGTTATTATAACATTTCTTTTAAAAAAAAGGTGCCCTCTGTTTTGTGTCAGAAAAAGGAGAAAGGTGAGAGTGAGCGGACACTGACAGAGCAGCTACAGGCCAAAGAGATGGAGTTGCTGCAGTTGAGGACAGAAATGGAGACCAGTCAAGGTACGGGTCACGTCTGCATTGCATGTTGGTCCTCAAATGTTATACTAGGACTGTCAAAATTATCGCGTTAACGCACGTTAATTAATTGTTTTCATTAATTTAGTCTAAAAAATTAATGCATTGACGCATTTCGTGAATGAGCCCATGCATCCCATAATAACACTCAGAATGCCGCAGACATGTGCGTGTGTGAGATGCCGTCAGAGCAGGTAGACCCTCTGGGAATTCAAGTTTAAAAAGAAAACTCGCGTGACCGCGGGGCACTTGCTCGTTTGCTATGAACTCGAACGGGATGACGCATCTTCCTTGGTCACAGCGTTTTGACCTGGAGCAGCTGCGGCGGCTCCTGCGTGTCTTCTCCCAAAGTGCACTCGCTAAATTAAAGCTGGGGTACCTAATTTTCCCTTCCACTACCAATTCATGTTGGTTGTGCCCAAAAGTAAAAGCTTGTGAGAAAATCAAAGAGATTTAATGACATTCTGCATTTCACACTTTTTTTAAATGTCCCTCATCTGTAACAAACAATAGTTTTGGTCTGCGTCTAAAGAGAAAGACAGACTGTTAATAATTTTAATGCCATTTTATGTGGATTTATTGTTTTAACAAACAAATACTGCACATATGTACACTATGATGTCATTTATGTATCTTTCCATTCAAACAACCATTTACAGAAAAATATGGAGTAATTTTGCCGATAGTTTGAAATGTGATCAATTAATTAATTAATTTTTATGTTATAATTAATTTGATTAGAAATGTTAATCATTTGACAGCCCTATTTTTTACATTATGGTTTTTTAAGAAATAAGATGTACCAGTTTGGCATAGTTTGTCCTACACAAACTTTTTATTATCAGATTTTCTTACTACTGTTTGTTTGTCCTCAGTGATGAAAAGCCTGAACAGCCCGCAGGACTACTGGCAGGTGGACAGGGTCAGCACAGAGCACAAGATTCATAAACTACAGGAAGAGCTGGAAAAAGTTACACTAGAGAACAGCCGACTACTGGAGAAGAGTGCAGTGAGTCTTGTTTTATTAAAAAAATGTTTTGGCAAAGAACAGTTTTCCCCAGTGATCCCAGTAAAGATAATTAAGTCTTCTTTAGGATGATCCGCCTGAGCCTAATGGACCTGAAATGGACCGGAACTGCGGTTTAAAGTTTAATTCAAGGTGGTGTATTTTTTTTTTCTTCAATGCTTCTCCAATGCAGCAGTATCAAATGTTAACTATTTTAAGTTTGCATTTACCCCAAATTCATGCTGTGTAAATACCAGGGGGATAACTTTTAGTACTATGTAGTGTAGTTATTTACTTTGGCCACCAGAGGACGGTGCAGCTTCAAGTTGTGTCTGCGTACACCTTCTGTATCCACACACAGCTATACACACACATACACACCTGTGTTCCTAGAGATCTCCCATCACAGTACTCTCTGTAGCTTACAGTATATTCATATATATTGTGTGTGTTATCTACGTTTTAGATAGATAAAAAATAACTTTGTTCTAAAACCTGTGTGTGCAGAGAGAAGGCGATGCAGACATACGAAGCGTTGTGCAGTGAAGTTTCTCGATGCCACTCAGAGTTAAAACACCAAAATGGCTTGATACGAAAACTAAGACAAGGTGAGGAAAACATCTGCACTGCATATTAACACACAGGGCCAGATCTCAGAGGCAAAATGAATACTGGATAGGTTATTATAGGTTAATCACTCTGTCTTGACCCAATTTTCGTTTTATTTATTTTTATCTACTACCAGAAAATCAAATATATCCTTAAAATGACTACTGGTGTGATTTGTACAAAATGATTTTTATACATTTTCCTTTTTATTTGTATTAAAAAGTACATTGTATTTTTATTGTTTAATGTGAGATTTAGATCCGCTGTTTTCTTAAAAAATGCACTGAGAAGAAATCCTAAAACTTTCAACTTGCCTGTTGTAATGTGGCATGGGTAAAATGAAAATCCTAAAACATGTGTGGAACATAATTATTTTTAAGTGACTAAAGAAGTCTCTGTTATGAAGAATGCTTTTTGACACAATGTGTATCAATGTGTGATATCAAAGTATTCAAACACTTTGATAAGAGATGTCAAGAAAGTGGCTGTTCTTCTACCGTTGCTCAAAAATATATTCAAGGACATATTACCATTGTTGTCAATTCTCTCTGTGTCAGAGGAGCAGACCAGGAGGTGAAAATTAATATGAAATATGGCAAGAAAATAAATCTTGGTCTATTTATTCCTCTGAATAAGAGGCTAATCCTGTAACTTAGATGAGGCAGATGGAGCGAGAGAAGAAAAACAGTTGTGGAAAAGAAATTGAGAGTGAAGTTGGGAGGGGCAGAGGGGGGGGCTGTCTTTCTGTTCACTGATATTGTGCATCTGTATTCTTCTAATGTTCCTGCTTTGGAATCACTTTTATTCAAATCCTAGACTCAGGAGACCCTCTCCTGGAAGAGTAGCGGGCAGGGATGGATGGATGGATAGATGATGTGTGGAGGAAGAGAGGTACTGAAGAAGATACTGCCATTTAAACTTTATTATTTGTTGAAAATGATTATTTGATAGCAAAGCAATGTGAGATCAGGGCATTTGTTTTTTTGCATGGATGATGGAGACAAAAGCTTTATCTTCTGCTCTGAGGTTTCTTTGATTGGATTTGTTCAACAGTTTTCTGATTACTTTTGAATGCTGCCCAAAATCCAAGATGCATATTCACAGTAGTGAATAGTTTTTTTTTTAATGGAACACTAGTTGCATGAAGACTTGTTTTAATTTCAGAAGGCTTTGAAGTTATAGAGCAAGTTTGTCTGTTTATCAATTACATGTACATGTAATACATTTAACTTGTAGGTAATGTGACCGCATGTAAAATACTCCTTGATTCTGAAGTGAGCTCTCTTGACATACATTTTATTCAAACTAACTTTTTTTGTTTTACTTTCCCCAGTTTGAACCATTTTTTGGTCACTCAAAGCTCATAAGGCCACACAACTGATAACCATACTGTCTTTTCTCCCTTCCACAATTCCACAGTCAATTCCACAGTCCCAGTGCAGTGTCTGGACGACGTGGAAAAGAACAACAACCAAGTTCCAAGGGTGTCTCCGTACCCCCATCTACTCCCATCATGCTTGGGACGCTCTCCTGTGGGGCTATCCTCCGGTGCTCTCGCAGACAGCCTGAAAGAGGACTGCTGGTACAACGGGCCGTGGCCCTCACAGTACTGCTCAGGAGAGGCTCTGCTGGGCACAGACTCTTGCTCTGGGGTGCTGCCCCCTCCCCCTATGAACCAGGCCTCTCTGGACGATAGCTCCAGGTCATTCCCCAGCCCACCCAAACCCAGTGAGGCTCTCTTCTGGGAGGGACACTCCAACCCCAACTCATCCTCTTCAATGGGACATTGCAGCCCTAGGAGCCCGCCCAACACAGAGTGGGCTAAGCCCCACTGAGCAGACCTTTCTCTCAAATGAAGACCCGCACCTCAAGAGGAATAATTGTATGAAATGTCAAGCAACTCTTAACCCTGCCACAGTTACCACCTTACCTGCCTTAAACTGACAAAACACCTCTTTGGCTGGAATTGACTGGACCTACTGGTTGTGATCTAATGAGGGCCAAAAGTGGCCTTTTTAAAGTAATGACTTTGCTTCTGTGCGATGGTGTTCTTTATAATGGACTCAAACAGCAGAGGAACACGTGTAATGCCCTTAAGCAGAATCTGTGTCTGTACTGTCAATCTCGTCTCTTTATGCATACAGGTGCAAAGCATGCATACTATTGGTTTGTCCATACGTTGGCACATCACTGTATTCTTGTTTATACACAAGCCTCACACCTGCACACAGCAGGATCTTAAACTCTTTACCTAGTAGTCCAGGGTGTTTGTACACCTGCTGTGAAGTCACTTAACTTGTCATCTTTCGTTTATTGAATGGAAATCATGTACTGCATAATTCTATATTCATATTCAGTCGTAACTAAATTACTGCATTTTTCACAACATGAAATACAGGATTTATCCAATTCCTTTAATACAGACCCAAGTGTGTAAGTACAGTGACGGCCTCGGCTCAATGAAGGGAATATATTGTGTACATCACATGCACATAGTTAGAATGTCTCGACTGCTCAAACACGCCTCTTTATAGCTGCCATTGACACATTTCAGTGGATGTGTTTTTTCCAAATGGCAAAGGCAGTTACAGAAGAAATGCTGTGCATTTGAAAACATGTGAAGTACATCTGATTTAAGTTTGTGAAGTGTTTGTGCTAGTGTAAAATATACATTTAGCATACTATCAAAGATAAGTGTGTATATTGTATAAATGTATATGGTGGGCAGGCTTTAGTTCTCTGCCAAAATGCAGTTTTGCACTCTGAACAGTTTTCCTTTTAGCGCTGTTGTCTTTCAGATCTGCCTGTGACGGCCGCGGAGTATTTGATAGTGTTGGATCATGATTAGTGCATAAAGCACAAAGAAGAACCATGATGACATTTTTTGAAAAGATTTGTTTGAGGGAACTGGTCTGTTTTTTTACAGCTGTAGTTTCATACTTCTGTAAGCAATTCGCAAACCAAATGCAATATATAGTAGATATGGAATTATATTTTAAATTTACTGCACTTCTGACTGTTTGTAAATACAATTAAACAAATCATAGAATTTGACTTAACAGCCATTTTTTAGCCTTTATAAAATGATGCTGTGTGTACATTCATGCTTGTACAGGGTCGAACCAGGATCCCCTGCCAGTTAAGTCTAATACATGTGCTTTTTCATCACCATTTTGAGGAATATTTTATAGTTTGGCTCTGTCAGTCTTCTGTTTGGACTGGAACCTCATTTTGGCCTATAATACCACTGCAACGTGAGAAAGTTAAAATTTTAGTAGTTCAGAACATTCTCCATGAAGACCAATGTGACTTGAGTTTTCTAATATACATTTATAGCAAACGGAGCTTTTCTATGAAAAAGACTTTCCTCGTTAGAGGAAAGTACACATTGGATTTGTGGAGATGTAGGCCATCTCATTTTTTTCCAATGCATTAAACAAAATAAAAAAATGCACATTTACCTTTAAGTTACAGTGGAGCAGCAAATAAGAAAAAAATATTAAAAGGACACATTTTGCTTCCGTTTATACATCTAACATTTACTTTAATCAATACACCATCATACACATGACACACAAATAGACCAATGTAATTTTACTTATTTATTTGTATTGACCAGAATATCTACATAAATTAAATACATTTGCTGCCATAGATCACTACCAGAACTATACCAGATATGGATTGTTCAAAATCACATGCTGACAGGCAGTTTTTGTTTCCTGTGCTTGGTTGCAACCCCAGTCCGTTCAAATTCCAACTTCTCCTGGATATATTCCTTCTTGCATTCTTCAAAAAAGACAGGGTCTTGATAGCTGTAAGAATAAAGATTAAGAAAAAAAGCATGTAACATAAATCAAACAAAGTATGGTAAATACATTTGTAAATACATTTACAAATACATACTGTTTAACGAGACAATCTTTTAAGGCTGCGTTTTCCTCCCGACATTTGAACACCATAAAAAACCCTGATTCTTTACAGCAATGAGTGAAAGCTGAAAAACAAAACATCATAGAAAATAGATTAACATCAATGATCAGTAGCAGCTACACTGGGTGCTTCAGCGTCTTTGAGCTTCGGTTTATGCCGTCAGCCAGAATCAATAGTGTACGTACTGTAAACAAGGTGTTGAGTTTGAGTCTTCACCTTTTTAGCACGCTATTTCTCAAAGCTTTGATTAAAAGCACCGCCTTTGTCCCGTGTGAGCCACTGACACTTTAATTAGCTTTATCAGTGGTATCTGTATTGTCATCACACAAACACTTTCATCAGGATGCAAATGTGGATTAAAAAAAAGAAATAGAAAAACCAATTCAAGGGAGCAGAACAGTGCGACTAATCTAATCAGCGAGCGCCTCAGCCCTGTCCCCTGGTACGAGGCTGTTGAGGGGCGACTTTCAGATCGCACGCAAAAAGGAAACGGATAGGACAATGTATATATAAAGAGGTTCTGAACAGTGTCCTTCGTGTGCTTGGTTTGACAGTTCAGTTGATGCGTCAGGTTTGGTGATCTTTGAATGAGACAATGGCACATGATGTATTGTTTGCATCACACTCCATTGAGTAAATGCAGTGTCCTTATTTCCCTATTTTGACATTCTTATTCACAAATGATCTGCTAAGTCTTCCAAGGCATATCTTCTCTTGGAGACATATTTGGTGACACTGTCCTTCATTTGAGAACCTCTACCTCAGCCTCTGAAAACATGTTTTAAGTTAATGTTATTTAAATAATTGATCACAGCCACAGTTGGTTAAACAAAAATGTTAAAAGAAAAAAAATAGTAATTGAGCAGGTGATTTTATGTTGCTATGTTTTTTTCTTTATTTTAATTCAAATATGAAAATTGTGAGAATGTCTGGAAATAAAAACATCAAACCGTTTCAGGTACAGCCCCAACCCCATGTCTGATCAATGCATTCAGTAGCACAGCCAGCTATATCCATTTGAGAAGTTCACACAGGAAACAGTACATTGTTTCCCACATGTATGTAGCTGTACGGTGGTCAGAGGTGTGAAAGCGAGTATGATGGGAAAACGGTGATTTCACATTGTCTGAGAGTGCATTGTGTCTGTGTGCAGAGAAAAAAAAACACATTTTGCCCAACTTCACATGTGCAAGGCACTTGACAGTCGGATTAAAATCCCCTGAATGTTTTGTTTCTCAAAGCTCATTCACATTTGGTCAGAAATATTTCTCATCAATATCGAATTGTCATCAAATTAAGAAATAAGGCAAAATAAAAACACTTCCTTGACTTCAAGGCATTAAAGGAAAATACTAGTAAAAGAGGTTCTCTTTGAGAGGATTGTCAATTTTAGAAATACAAAAAACATGGCACTGTTATTAATCAAATTTTAAAATAAAAATAAAAAAGTCCCCCAATGAGAGGTTGAACCGCATCGGGGCTTAGGAAGGTGTATTGAGACATGTCATAATCAAAAGGAGGATTAATTCATAAGAAAGTGCTTTTTTAAAAGAGAGTTTGTCTTTATTATTTGTTTCATGTTTAAAAGCATATATTTTCATGTTTGTAGAATTACTTTCATCATCCATGGCCAATCCAAGCGTCTTTGCAAATAGGAAATCATAACCTTATTATTGAAATCTAATCAAAAGTGGGTGAAAGTTGGAGGAGTCACACAACCTTTAATGCTGGCAGTGGTTTGGTTTTATAATGACTTAAAATCTTCTTTACTGTAAATCTTCTAACACAAGGACAGCTACTCACCTTCCACATGCTCTGCACATCGCACCCGAGCTTTCTCTCGCATCATTTTTGGAATAAGGACATCCAACTCCACATGCCTCAGCTTCATCTCCTCTGCAGAGAAATAACAACAGAGTTTTCCCGTCAGGATGGATTCTCCTTTATGTTCTTCCAGAACAAAACTTCCAAATAGGGCAACAAGCATAGATCGTAGACTTTTATGCAGTCATTGCTAATAATAATCAAATCAAAATTGCATGTGTATTTCTTAAATAGGGAATGGCTTGAGGGGGATGTTTGAGAAACATGTTGAATTGACTGTGCTGTGGTGCCTTAGATAGAGATCAAGTCATTCTAAGTGAGAAATTGCTCTTTGTCATAAAACAAGACATTGTCAACGTATGTCCATGTTATTACAAAGATCTTCTGTAAGAAACAATTTCCTGAAATATAGAAGTACTAATTAAAAAGGTATATAGAAGGATTTTCTACTTCCGGGTGGAACATCAAGACTATTGGTCCTCGCAATTGTCAATCATTCTGGTGATTCAGTTCAGTTTATTTCAAAGGGGACAATGCAATTTAATAAAACATGATTAAACATGAGAATAAGCCAGAATTAGCCATTTAGCCAGGCTATTTTTCATCTGCAGTCCCCTGAAAAAGACGTTCTTTCCCAACCTTTGTGAAAATCGTCCTATATCCCTTTATTCAAGATTCATGAAATAATATCGCCTCATGTTTGCAGTATAACACTAACACGGAGGTGACTGTGCATCCTGTAGATAAGACTGAAATGTGTCAGATAATGATGTCAATCACTTATTTCAAATGAAGTTGTTTGATCCGCAGCACATCCGTGTAATGCAAGTACTATAGCAGTGTTTGTCAGCAAAGTAACAATTAGATGTTCTCCAGGTAACGCTACATCCACATTATAGTGGTATGTTATATATAACAGACAATGATCTGCATGTCGCATGTCCGTACGGACGTAAACATGATGTAAACACTGCGACGTGACCGTAAGCTGCGCTCACACACATCTGATCAGAGACATGGATTACCTTCATTTGTAGCTTCCATCGAAAACAACTGTGTATCTATTATTTGCTGTGACCTACAGACTTGCAACCGAGCTCTTAGCTAACGCACCAAAACACTTCCGCTGACGTACTTTGACGCGCCACCCTCAGTGTTTCACAAACAGAGGTGTGCAGACTTTAAGGAGAGCGTCTCAAAGAAAACATGAAGCTACTATTCAAAGACTTGTGATATTATTTAATTCAGTGTAAAATATACATCCACCTGAATCTTCAATAGGCTGAAAGAAATAGGAATTTAAAAAATAACCTAGTGTGAGATAATGATCTCAGTGTAGCCTGACTCGATGGAACAGAACACCAGACATGCTCACAACCTTTAATCAATTGTTTATAATTGGTCGTTTATCGTTTTGGTTTACTTATCAAGCCTGTTTTTAAAAAACACCATGTGTTGTGTCATTGATACCAGTGCACAATATACTATATCTTTAGCTTAAAAAAAAAGAACAATAAACTGACAACCACTTCATCCTAACAGAAACCTCTATGGTTATAGCAGAGTAGATACATTGTCTTATGCAGCTGAAAGATCCCACCTGTAATGTCACACAACAAGTATAGTCCACTGAATTGAATAGTTGAGAGGGGATTGGGATAAAACAAGCATCTGCTTCATCCAACCCTGTTTTAACCAAATGTACATGTACAGGTGAAAATGTGCAGGTTACAAAAAATCTCTGCAAACAGCACTATTAACTATTTCAATCCATGCAACTTGAAATATTTGATTGCAGGAACAATGGTTTTATAGATGCAGATGTTGCATGCCTGATACCCAGTGTTGGGGAGAATGCTTTGTATACATTACAAGATGAAAAAAGTGCAAATCTCCCTACCTGATTCTGTAGACCGCACCAAATGTCTCCACCACATCCAAACCACATTATGCAGCCATCAGAGTTCCACTCACCCACTCGAGTCGAGAGAAGACACTTGCTCCTCGTCTGTCGGCCCTAGGTTCTCACAGACGTCTGAAGTCACCTTAAGGCAGCAAGCTCCTTTGTAGATTACAGCGTAAAAACAACCACAGGCCAACACCTGTCTTTAGGCAAGAAAAAAAACTCTCTTACGTGACTCCTTATGTGGGCTTTATTGTACGTCTTCCCACAACTCAACGAAGACCACAAGCTGACCAAAAAAGTGAGCAGCATATTTGACTGAATTGAAGTGCTTCTTGAACAATTATGCTTTTTCCACTTTCATATATATTATAATTATAGACAAGGTAATCAATGTGTATATGTTTTTAAAGGGTACACCTCTGTGGCGAAATGGACCTCTGAAAGGTGAAGGCCTACGCCTCTTGCTGCCTGAGGAGGAGGCATGCTGTTCGTTATGGCAGTGCTCTGATCCAATCTAACCCGAGCAGCAGGCTCCTGAACCTGGCAGAAGGAGGTTAGCGGAGTTAAACCCTTTCAGAGTGCGCTTCACTGACCAGCTCCAACTGTCCAGCACAAGCCACTGTCCGAGAATGTCAAAGGGTCAATGACACCTCATCGTTCATAATTGATTTATTTGCTTCCCCATAATATATATATAAATAGGTCTCAGATATTTAATTGTTTCAAAGTGTAATAAAGGCCTGACTTCGTAAGCTTCGAAATAAAATAAAAAATTCTGGGGGATTTTAAAATTACATTTTAAAATTAATAATTAAAGACAGAGTTCAAGACGTCTTAAGGAGTGGCCAGCGTAGTCAAACCAGACCAGAATCTCCACAGCAGGAGCTGTTTCTGGCCCTTCCTGAGCACAACATACAAGCAACGTACTGTTTACAGAAGTGTAACCCAGACCCAGCTTGCACTTTGTACCATTGTAGATCTCATGGGGCCTAGTTCAACAGGATTGCTTGGTTCTGGGTGATGGTGATGTGTCTGTCCTCCTGTCATGCCTGTTGCCATGCTTATTCTTCTGAATCACTTCTTTCGACTCAGACATGCAAAGTCTGACGGCCTACAAAAAAATGGTGGCTAAAAGGTGGAAGCCCCCTCACTCGCTGTCAATTGACAGTAGATTTTAGATTGCTAATGGAACTGTCCAAAGAACACATCCACGTCAAGGAGAGTACCATCAACATGTGGAGCAGCAGACGGATGTAAAACAGTACTTCTGGCTTGATTTTGTCTAAAGTTATACAATATTTATCCTTTCCTGGACATGTATGTGTTTTTATGTTTATGCTCTGTTTTTATTTAGTTTTTTTAAAGCACATAACCAAAAAAGGAATAGGCTTAAGTGAGGCTATATACTATCACAATACACGTTCTCAGCATAGCCATGGCGCTGTTGCTTCTCGTTGGTGTCAGTTTGTTGCGCAGTAGCAGATGGGGTGTAGAGATGGGATTTTGAGCGTGTTTAAACCCGAGCGGCAGGACTCCTCTTCTGAGTCGGTGGGAAGCAGACGATCCAATGGTCTGGGTGAGGGGATTACAGGCAGACCTCTGCTGGTGAGGCCTGTCGCGGGGCACCTAACGTGGCGCACCACTGAGAAATGACTGTCAATGTCAAGAAGTCAAAAAATCAGCAACAGTTTTGGCTAGTGTGCAATGGCACAGGTCTTCCTCTTCTTTTTTGTTTTATTATTTGAGAAGAAGACAAGCTATGAATCCTTTTTGTGTGTATAAGTGGACTTATATTCTAAGATAAATCAGTTTGGCTCTGAATATTGAAGAAACACACTGCTTGACTCAACCACCCCATGGATTTTGATTCTGATCACCTTCCGCTACTTATTGTCATTTGTGTTAGAAAAAAAAGTTGGCATTTCTTCCTCATGTTTATTACTTATTTTGCGATTGTTATTAAGGACTATCAATATGTGATGTGTGACCCAAAGGAAGGAATTATTTATTCTCCCCTAGTTTGGGTTTGCATGAGCTTAGACAATGGCCCAATATAAGAGTCAGGGAAATGTGTTGTTTGATTGATCCAGGGATTGCCCTGTTCTATTTTTCCAATGTGACACTGTGTCACATATTATTACCTTGTAGTTAATGTATTTATTAAATGACACAACTATTCAAATGTGTGCTTTGGATTATGTTTTCTCTGACTGTGGTCCTGGTCTTGGCAACACCTGAGAAATGTCAGGATGCATTTCCTATGAATCAAGTGAAGAGCTGTGCCACTGGGCTACAATCTGTAGTCACTTCTCAGGAAGGCTAAAGCCTTTGACACCAGTTTTTAATTAAAATTACATTAGAACTAATCAGCCGAGAGAGGGGTGAGGTCAGAAGGGCTTAGAAGGGGGTCACTATCTGCTGCCAGGGCTTTCATGTACATCGCCTGTAAAAGGGTGGTTCTTCTTATTCATCAAAAGGGTAATAATCAATCAATCAATCCTTTATAATCTCACATATGGAGAAATTCAGTTTGATGAATAAACATATATAATAACCCACAATGCAACATGTTTTCTGTGTGATGTGTATTAGCAGTGTTGGGGAAAAACTGAGGGCATGCAACCAGAAACACATCACTTTTTGTTTAAACATAAAGATATAGGATCATGCGAAAATACTGTATTGCAGAGACAATAATTATGACTTGTACTTTAAGTAAATACATTGTGTGATTTTAGTGATTGAGTGTGTAAATCAAATACATAATATTGGGGAAAATAACAGAAATCACCATAATTATTTATTACACTAATATCAGTATTCATTGTACTCATTCAATCTGAAGAGACCAAAGACACAATTAATACAATAAAATTATTTATTTATTTGGCGCATTGACCCCGACAGTGACACTTGCAGCGATGAGATCGATTGCAGCTGAAGGTGATCTCAGATCGCCCGGGTCAAGTACTGGTGGTGGCTAGAGTATGGTGTGAATGGGGCGTAGCGGAGCAGGAGCCAGAGCAGGAGCCAGAGCAGGAGCCTAGAGCGGGAGCCAGAGCGGGAGCCTAGAGCGGGAGCCGGAGGAGGTGCTGGGAAGGTGGTGGGTGTTATGAGCTTCAGGAGCGCTGCTTGTCAGGAAGTGGCTGCCCTTTAAACTGCCCGCTTGCTTGTGAGAGGGTTGGCAGAAGGCTGACCGAGCTGTGTGATTGGTTAGCTTGGGAGGGGGAATTTGCACCTCGTCTTTCATTCTGAATCTGCGCCTTCAGCCTAATTAATACTCGAATAATATTCGATCATCTATAAAACCATTGTTCCTGAAATCAAATATTTAAAGTTGCATGAATTGAAGTTAATAGTGCTGTTTGCAGAGTTTTTTCCCCCTATTCTTCCTCAACCATAGATACTAGAGCAAACAGAACCATTATGAGCCCATAATCAGCTCTCCACCGATACCTTTGTGAATGTAGTTTTATATATTTGTTCGACATCACAAATGTACGTGAAAAAACACATTTATTAATATATATTTTAATACTAAATATCTGGTTTCAATACGCTAAAATTGGGTAAAGCAGCAGGGATTATTTATTAGACAGAGAGAACACGGGCTCTCTCAGTGCATTTGTCAGGCAAGATCAAATGATAATGCAACTTTTCTCTTTTCTGAAACAGCAGAGACAGCAGAGAGTCGGGGACACAAAAACCTATTCGCTCACACACAAGGACTTCTCGCCAAGATAATTATAAGCTTTATGAAAGTAGTGTGGAAGAAGGGGGAAGCAACCCAGCACAAGAATGGGCAGACGGGAGAAGAAAATTACTTTTCCCCTTTGGCTCTGCTTTATGCCCCTTATAACAAGAGAAGAGATGGCAATGTATGGAGGAGGCCTTCTTCAAGCTGGCGTCCCGGGGCTTCAGGCAGCATAAGGCAAAAAGTAGCATTCAGAACTTCTCTAGTTTTCTCCTGTTCATTAATCCACCAAAACCTTTGACCATTTCACAATAACCAAGCTCATTACTTGGACCATCTTGATCAAAAAGAAGAGTAGGACAGAGCATAGCCGAAATGAAGTCCGTACCATTTGAATAGGAGTTTGGTATAGACTCCTGCTCTAAACAACACCAAAAAGAACAT